TGGCATTTCCTAAGAATCGCGAGCTTTTAGGTAAGGTGTAGGTTACCATATTGTTTGTTTTTCATGATTTTCATATCCATAATTAACCCTGTAATCACTGATAGTTACTCCTGTATTTTTTATATTAATTCATCAAATAAAATGCTTTAAATTGGCAAATTTATTCAACAATCCTGATACCATTCAACCCCAATATTTTTAAAATTAATTGCAGCTAAATTGAGTCAAACTTTTTTTTGTACAAAAACCTGACATCGTCTGTACAAATTAATTCCATCTATCTACTATCTATACTAATATTATAAAGAGAAAAAATTTGATTGTTTATTTGCATTGAATACGCGCCGCATCCGAAACCATTATTTTTTTTTAATTCCTTCACCTACTTGAAGCTACATCATACGCGATTAACATAGAATATAATTTACGCAAGAAAAGTCGCGAGAAAAATATCGTCTTATAAAAAAGTATAATGAGTTATTTTATTTTATTATATTAAAAATAAAACTCCCAAAGGGTCATTTCTTTATTTGGCGTTAATTATCATTTCCTCGTCCGTATACAAATTTATACGTGACAGTTCAATTATACTTAAAATCGAATAAATACCATTCGAATATCGATATCTACTTATTAAGCTTAATCCATGTATTTACGATACTCATCTTTATTTAAATGTGTCAAAGATTTAAAAAATATATATCGATAATTCCATTGGCACTTAAAAAGGTAAACATGCTTCTGTAACATAACTCTTCGACGACGAATCCGAACAAATTACGGTATAAAATCCAATCTTATTTAAAAATCGAAGGTTTCTGATATCAAAATTCATTTTTTATGTCCGTAAAAAGACTTCCTAAATGGGTTGTAGTTAAATGTTGGACGACTCAAAGTGCTTTGGAGCTTCTTTTCTTACCCTCCCTACGTCTTTTATACAACGTGAGTCGTCGCGTGGGTTCATTAATTAAAGATCCAAAAAACTATCGCTGTCTTATTATAGAAGGAGGACTATAAAAGTACTAACAGTACTTTTAAACCATTGGCTGTCTAAAGCAATTGACAATGACAGAAGAGAAAACGTCAAATTGAGACGTGTTAACTTATTTTGGTCAGGTTATCGTTATAACATGAGCCTTATTGTCTAATTTAAAAAACTGACGCAATTTTTTTCAATCTGACATATGTTAGAAATTCACGATATTTAGCCGTTAACAATTTGACTTGTGCTGGCGATTGTGATCGTGACTTTTTTAAGATATTTAATTAACGATATCGTTAACTTAACACTAATTGGAATTATTTATGGCAAGCGTTAGACGCAAATAGTACTCTAAGTTTATTATTATGTTTGTTGATCCTCGCGCCCGTCCTTAAGCGAGGCAGGCCTACCTGGTAAAACTCGCAGCGAGTACCCTCCGGGAGAGAAGGACCCGGGAAGGAGCCCGCCAGGTTCAAAGAATAGGCCATGACCGACCACGCGAGTCTAGTGCGGCTTGGTGGGTATTAACGACTGCAGATGTAGCCGAGACCAACGACTTAGCCTTCGGAAGCACGAGGGAGCTCGAGATGATAAATTTTTGGTCACCCATCCTATTGCAAATGTTGCTTAACAACCGTATCGCAGACCGCGTTCGGTTAAATTTTACTAATTGTGGAATATTTTGAGATTACACCATTAACTTATTATTAAAAGATACAACATTACGACAAAATAACGTCGATTCACTACACACAAAGGCTTTCATTCAATGACACCTGATTTTTTCTATTGAAAATGAAAGTTGAATCGTGACAATATAATGGTTACGAATCCGGTGAGCATTTTTGTGTCGGACTTTCAACAAAAAATACTATTATTATATTTGAAACTATCAAACTATTGGCGAATGTTGACATTAGTTAGCTTAATAGCTAATATCATATTTGTTTCAATAACACTAGTGATAAAGTGACACGATATTTCAATGAAACACTTCAAAGCTTCTTGACCTAGGTATGTCTATAAAAAATAGGTGTGTCGTATCTATCTTATAAACTTCAGGTGACACATCAAAGTTCAATTTTTTTTACCGATTTTTATTTAACCGACTAATTTCCTTCCACCTTTTTAAATTTCTCAAAATGACGTTTGTCATTTTATCAGTTGATCATCAATTCGTTTTTTTCATTATCCAGTCGTTTTATTTGGTCGAAATACTTTTATGCTTGGTCGAAATAACATTTCGACTAAGTATTATGTGTGCGACCATTAATTACACCACTGTTTTATTTACCAATTTTTTACTTTACCAAAAGACTGCGTTTTGCCCCCTTCCAGTTCTAGAGAAGCACGCATGCATGCAAAATACAAGCAAGTATGAAACATGTGAGCAAGTATGAAGTCTACAAGCAAGCATGTAAGAAGCAGTTCAATGATCTGCTCTTAGTCACAAGTCAAACTTAATGGAGTAGCACATACATATAACAAACATGCTATGGTTAAAATTATACAGTAAAATGTGGTTTAGTCTAACGATATGTACAGCCACAGATACATATTATAACTACAATATAGCAAGAGAAATGTCGGTCAATAGTTATCGATCAAATGAAATTCGTTTCAAGGCGTCGCTATCTCCGAGGTTCAGGTTTCGAATTCCGAATGAATTAATATAGAAAATGAACTTTTCCACATATTCTTGGGTCTGGATGTTGTATTACCATTGTGTTTCAGATATCCATAATACAAATGCTTTAGCTACTGAATTTGGGATCTGATTAATTTATGTCATTTTGTCTTATGTTTAATTATTTATTGATTTAATTGGTTAATGACCAATCAAATGAGCCCACAGAAATCGTTGGGCCTCTCATGCAGATTTCGCCGATTAAAGTATAAATAATTATATAATAAACCTTAGTAGTTTTGGTCGCAATCGCTTAATTCATCATAGCCAAAACGAATAGTTATCAACCTAAAAAAAATTGACGTGAACTATGATCGATACCGACATATACATTTGATTTCACAAACGCTTGAGGAAATATCAACGTATGTAGGGGTTTAGTAATCATAGCGTTTAAAATCAAACTTTTAAAAGAACTATTAAAAAACGTTACCTATTATTAAATATGAAAAAATATTGTCTGATCCCAAAATGTATAAAGCTTTATCTAAATGACATTATTTATTTCTAAAACAGATTCGAATATTTTAATGTGGAAATTCAAAGTAAAGATTCACCAGCATAATACCGTTTATGCCCCAAAAACATGAGTGTGATTACCTAACTCTCTAGCGATATACGACTCTACGACATTGACTTTAAAGAAAAATGAGCAAAAAATTTACCAGCAGAAAGAAAAAATTGGCAATTAATTACTGTTTTGTTTTGTAACATTTGATAGTTCACTATTATGTACTGTAATGTATGTACTGTATTAAGTAGCCAAAAGGATTAATAAATTCTAAATTCGAAAAACCTGCGGTCTATCAACCAGAATCATTAATGTCTTTACCTTTATAAATACTTTTTTGTTAGTCAATATTATAAAATACGGAATAAACAATTCGATGTTCATTTTCATTTTTAGTCGTACGTATTTACAAATATTATCTTACAAAAGCTACCTAATATGGGTCGTCGTCAATTAAATTTTGCTACTTACGACGGTGGTAAAAATGATTAGAAGTTATATCGTTAGGACAATGCGTTAACGTTTTTACAATACAAAGCAAGGGCAATATTGTTAAATATTTGGACCTATATGAGCTTGCCCTATAATCACTCACTGTAGAAACTTCCGTACATTCACCGAATCAACAAAATGCCCGATAAGAGTCCATTGTTTTCTCAATGTACGAGATTACAATGGTAGTAGGAAGCAATACAATTAACATAGGTGAAGTACTCGAAACTAGAGGTGGTTAAATTAGCGCTTAACGTATTAATTAAACACGCTAATCGTACTTAGCGTTTAACGCTGTTAAGTATGTACACGTTAAACGCGTCCAAATTTAGCGTGGTAACGCCGCGGGCAGTATTTGCGTGGGCGCGAACACTAATATACTCGTTAACGATTTATTCACATATCATGTTAAATATGATCATGTATTATTAACATAGTTTAGTAAGTTGATATTTTAAATTGTTTAGATTAAATTGCGATTATGTGCGTTAAATAAAAATTTATGTTAAATAAAACAATAAGTTTAATTTGTAAAAAAATATTAAATAAATATTGTTTGACATGATTATTTATGATAAGTAGGTGTTTATAATAAAGATGATAATTTTAATACATATAAAGACAAATTGTAGTGAAGGGATATAAAAGTGTATTACGTGTAGATAACAAATGTACATAGTTAATTTATTTTTGTTTCACATATATTAGAATAAAACATTAATAAATTATTTTTTACTATGCACATGCTCAGTTAAAAGATCTATATATAATAAATAACGTGCTACGACATTTAGTGTACTGCTTGATTTAATGCGTTAGTCGCTCACCCTTTTTATTGTGTATTAAGCTCGTTAATAAATTAACGCATCAATTAACACGCTAATTTTACTTAGCATTTATTCTTCAGGGTGTTAATGTATTTTAGTCGTTTTGAACAACTCTACTCGAGACTATTTGTTCATAGATGATACTATCTCCGCATTGTATAAAAAAAAAAGATTTGTTTGGTTTTTTTTTATTAATAGTGACCATTATTCGATAATATCTTATTACAATACCATTTATAATTTAATGTTTGTTTTCCTGCTACTTCGCCTGCATAAATTTTAGTCTATATCACCAGCGCATGATGTAGGTGATTCCCATAGGTGAAATAATTTTTAAAATTGGTCAAACTCGGACCGGTACTTTAAGGACCCTGTCGAACCCACAAAAGAAGAGAGAACCAGATAAAAATGACGTATTTTATCACAATGAACTTTACGCACTTTTTCTCAAATTTTGTATTTCACACAGTCATTTTTATCTGTCTTCTCTTTTCTCCGCAGATTTTCAAGAGTTGGCGAGGCAAAACAAGATCACGAAACAGATTCTAGAAGCGTTTATACAAAAGAAACTGGGTCTCGCGAGGGGACCTGTGAAGCCACCGTCTGTACACGAGATTCTTCCGAAGAACGTGATCGGTGAGAGAAATGTTCGGCAGCCGGCATCAGAAGAACATACGGATGAACTGCAAGAGAGCCAAGAGTACCCAGAAGACGACAACTTGCAGAGTGTAGAGAGCGAACAGATCGACTCTATATATTCTGAAGGCACGTATACATAAGGAAATTAGTTTTCTAATAATTCTGTCTTGTAGATATCGCCATTTGGGTGTTCCATGCCTATTTAAGGTAGTAATAGCAAATAGATTGCGTTTATTTTGTAATTTAATAATTTATTTTTAACAATGAAAATGTTCAAGCTATGAATAATTTTGCCATATTTGTTATATCGTTAATATGGGTCAAATCTTGTAATGATTTGCTTGTGATGATAAAGCTGAAATTAACAGCCATATTACGGACGACAATGCAAATTTAATATGAAAAGTAGCTAATCTAATTACTAAACCTCTGTAATTGATCGATCGCATCGAGATACTTTTTACTTTTCGTTCTTTCAAAACAGGAACTGTCATCTCTTAGAAACGTCAAACTGAGTACGTTCTCACAGATATCACACAGACTTATCAAACGATATTCAATTGTATTATTTTTTATTAAAGGTAATCAATAAAAATAATTTATTTTTTTTAAATAAATTCTCTTCTGTTTTTAAGATAACTTTATTTCTAGTAAGATATGAAATAGGTACCTATTATTGAATCACGACTATAATTACTAAAGATAATGAATATAACACTTTGCAAATGTTGATGTTATAACATTAAATTCAAATATACATATTAATTCAACAAAGAGGTTTAAAAGGTGTAAAATGTAATTACAAAACATATATATTCTAATAATTGCCAAGAATACTTCAATTAATAACTAATCATTAGTTTAACTTGTTACTTTCCATTACTAAAAAGATTTTAAGTCATGGTTTAATTCTTCTTAAATTACACTAGTTGGCGCTATTGTTGGAAATTTTTATTGATAATTTTTTAATGTAATAAAAATTTCTTTATTTTTAGAAATACCAGTTACATATTTTTAAATACCCTGACTGGTAAACTAGTTTTATATGTATTTTAGAAACCAGTATCTTCCAAATACATTTGCTAATATAAGTGCAATGCACTAATTAATCAGAAATAGTTACCTACATCCTTGTTTATTTGATGTAAATAAATGTTAGGCATTATAAATATAAATGAATGTACAATATTCTTAATATCATTAGTATAGCTACAGGAGCTCTTAATTTGTATAAATTACAAACTGAATATTTTTACTTTTAATTTAGACATTTTGAAAACTTGAATAAACCAAATTCAAGTTCTATGTATTACAATAATAATGTGATTTTTATTAAAAACATAAAATTATATAAGATTATGTTAAATTTTTTTGGAAAAAGTTATCAAATTATAACTCTGACGTCATGAACTTCCAAATAGAATTAAGCCGTGACCTTAAACCGATTTGATGAACATTGTTCTTTTTTTAATTACGAAGTCTAGATCAAATAAATGCCAATGTTCTTCGTAACTCATACAACACGCCGACGCAAAACAAATATGTAACGTAGGCTTACATGTTTTATTTCAAAATTTTTTAAAATAAACAAAAAGTTGTGTACCAAAGTCAATGTTGCCTCGAATATTTGTGAGCAAACCAACAGCGAGTTGGACAACTGCTATGAGTTATTGCGAAAATTCGTCCTTAGAAGTAGGTAGATATGTTAGCTTGACTTGCTTCATAAAAGGAAATATATTTGTACGGCATAATCATTTAAAAAATGGTCATTCTGTGAACCTAGTAAATGAGCAACATGGCCATTTTAAAATAAACATCGGACAATCTCTGGTAGTTTTAATATATTTCCATTAACATATTTTTAACTAGAAAAAGTCGTTAAAATTTTAATAAATTGTTTAAGCAAACATGAAATGACATAAGTTTAAAGCATGAAGTGACATCTACGCTTGTTATGATAATAAGTGACTTATGCATTATATTAAAGATTCCTTGCAGTCGGATATTATTTTATTTTTATTATTTTTACTGCATGTTTTTAACTGAATTAAAAAAGGTTATATAACTGAATACCTATGAAGGTTTAAATTGATTGACTTTTTTTAATTCATTTAAAAATGAGGTAACAACATTACATTTTCAACTTAAGATTAAATGTTAGCTTTACAATTTATTGAGTCATCTCTAAATTTAAAAATGATCAATTGCTTCTTTTATTTATAGCGTTTTAGTAAAGAAAATATAAATATGTAAGTTATTTACAGCCAGAATAAAGACATAAAGCGTTTACCTCAATCCTGCCAAAGTTCAAATAGTAGTATTAATTAATAAAAGTTGATCAGTGTAAAATGCCGAAGGATAGCTAATAAACAATAAAAAAGTACTACCTATAAAAAAAAGTATGAAAAGAAGATGGTCTTAATTATGGCGATTATGCCTCTAAATGTCAACTGTGTTCGACCACGTCCACCTTAAGAAGGTCAATGGTACCGGTCAAGGATTGAAAATATACGTAGACAGAAATAACTTCTGATCATGTAGAAAAGACAAAAACAACATCGAATATTAAAGGTGTACGTGCACTTTGTATGCTGTGCAAGCAACGGACGTACTGCACGCAACGGTTTGCCCGTAGCTTTGTAACAATCTGTATTGAACTCCGTCGACTTTGTCGAAATTTTGGTCCATATTGCATAAACTTCGGAGCTTAATGTGTCAAAAAAAAGGAACGTAAATATTTTTTATTTTTATAAATAAAAAATATTTACGGTACACTGAAATTCACAATTGAACCCGAATTCATGAAAAATTCATCATCTTTAATATAAAGAAAAGACCAAGAGACCAATTAAGAAAATATATTTTATTGATACTTGAAAAAGTCATGTTAAAACTTATAATAAATCCATCCGAAAACTATGAAGCTATCTAGTAGACATGGGTAGGTAATGCGTTTGATAGTAAGTACAAAAGTAATATCACTTTGCCACGTAATACAACAGCACTTTACTGTCATTACTAAAATGACAGCAAAGCTGTGAAGTTGATAACTAGTGGACGCACGACATTGCCAAATCTGAACAATCAGTTGCATATCGTGCATCCGTTGCCCGAGTACACAGTGGACGTTCACCTTTAAAATAACATAATTTTTTTAAGTAACTAATGATAAAGTTTTTATAAGACTGCATATTATATATATATATTTTATATACAATATTGGTTTGTCTTTCGATTCAAGAATTCTAGTATAGACATTACAATTATACCGATTTAAGTAGTAATCCATTAAATAATAAATTTTTATTTGACGACCAATAATTGGCAAAAACACGACTCGTTGATTCACCTTTAAACAAAATGATTCATAAATTAACATATTAAACTGAGTATTTCCATTTAGAAACATGAAGTTTGAAAAACGTTTTATTTATTATTTAATGTTATTTATAATTTACACAAAAATTTGGCATATTGCAATATTACTCATACACTTTAATAAATTTACTCTGACTCTTGTAATGAAAGTAGTAAAATTTAATGACACACAATATTCATATTATGTAAGGATTTGTGTTTGAATAGGTTTTAACAAAACGTTTTATGATCCGTAGCTAGAAAGCTAGAAAATCGAACTGATACTTTCTATATCTACGCAAATCGAGCGAGCGAAGCAAGCGTGTATTGGCTGGCAAAAAGGCATAAATATAGGTACATGCTGAATCTTTGGTAAAATATTAGCCCTAAGTAGTAATTAAAAACATACATGCACGCTTTACTTTTTTATATTGTCAGTATTATGGCAAAAAATTGGTAAATCATTTGCGAAAAAGTAAATTTTCAAATAATAAATTAACCAATTGAATTTTCGTGAGACATTAATGAACCTTCTCTCAATACGGCGCCTAAGCTGTTGCATATTTTAATTCAATTCACAATGCTATATTGGAAAATATTCTTAATGAATAATGACTTTTCATATGTAATTTTAAACTACTGGAATCCAACACCAGTCAACTTTCTGTTGGATGTTTCTGAAGTAGGTTATTTGTCCCATCCTCAACCCCGACTTGAAGCTTAGTATGAAGCCATAAAATTAAATATTATTTTATATGATTCAATAAAAAGGACCGAATTTTTATCTAGCAGACAAAATACTTGCAGATTTTCATCATTAATAAGCTTTTGAAATTTTCTGTTCTGCTTTTGTTTTTAATTATCACATTATTTTATTTCGCCACTGAACAACAAATACTATTTTAATATTTTTTTTGTCGACACAAAAGTATTACACTAATATCCTTACTAATAAAAAATATAAAACAGTTGCTTACTTACACATAACTCTCTTCAAGTCTTTCCAATTTAAATTTTAGTCCGAGTGAAAAAGACAAAACACTGTATAACTAACTATACAATGCTTATTATTAATTCTGATATTGAAACCAGAGTTTTAATAGATAATTCATTAGTCTAGTAACTATTCATTATTTATTTAAAAAAGGAACAAACACAGCGACGTGCCTGGAAGTTTAACGAAATCATAGACATTATAAAAAGTGCAAAAGAGCGAGCCTCTTCACTTTACATTGACCTATATATGCAGCCGAGAGATGTATAAAGGCAGTGGCACACAGTGAAATAAAAAAGACGCACATTGGGGTAATAAAAACCATATCTTTTAATGTTTTAAATGTTGTTAACAGTCTTTTGAGTGTGTAGTAATAGAATTTCTCGAGTAATATTTTACGAGAATTCTTCACAGAATGTTTTATACTTCCCTTTTTAATCATAGATAGATTAAATTATGAGGCAACCTCGCACTCATTTCTCAGATAAGTCTTTTTACTATGAAGTACTTGAGACGCAAATAAGTTACAACAACAATATTTTCTACATTAATTTGACCAAGAATCAAATCTGGGACTTGAAAGATGGCGACATCTTGAAACCGGCGTGCGTACTTCTTGGTTACGGAGGTCTTCTTTATTTATTAAAATTAGAATTTCTATTTTCATTAAAAGACTAGCTAGACAATTGACAGTTGGCTAAAAACGCGTATAAATGTAAGACAGTGTAGCCCATACTTAATAAACTAAGTAAAAGCAAAAGCTTTTACTTCAACGTTTAATACATACATGTAAAATTTTTAGGAAACGACCCTTTTCTGCTCATACAAAATTATGTTCATCATCATCACCAGCCCTTTTACGTCCCCTCTGCAGGGGCTCAGGCCTTCCTTATGGATGGTTAAGGAGGACCATCCATGAGGAAGGCCCGAGTACAAAATTATGTTTAATAGCAAAGAAAACGTTCTAGTATGACTTTAAGTCATGGGTGTAAGTTAACAACTTATTGTTCCAGGTAGAAGCAAAAAGTATGCCGGTGGACCTCCGTTCGAACCTGAATTGGATAACTATCGTAAGATTCAACCTCTTTTTTGCTTATTAACAGACTATTTTAGTATAGTATAGAAGTTGACTGGTAAGGTTACGTTTTAAGGAAATAAAAAACTTTGCCTTTCTGCAAACGCTTAATGGGGTTTTGAGATAGTTGACTGGTAAGGTTATGTTTTAAGGAAATAAAAAATTTTGCCTTTCTGCAAACGCTTAATGGGGACCAAATAAGCAAGACAATCTTTGAGCCAAATGACTACAGACGTTGTTAATAGATAGTATTGCGCTAAATAGGGAGTCAAAAATTATATTAACGAATTACTTACAAAACAATACTATAATTGTGTTTTTAATATCACACCTCTACACCACCATTGTATATTGTATAAATAAGAGAACTGAATTTAAATATTAGCTACACAATGATGCGCATTTTCACAATAAAAACAATGTACTGGTAATTTCGAGAAAATTATATTTTTAATTGAATTTTATCAGTATATAACAAATCAAGTTTTGGCACATATAGTCCTTGACATAGTGGTTTAGTTTTCTTCTTAATAATTCCAGTTTCCTTGTTTATTCACGATTTTGAGTAATTTTCTTTTATACTTTAAGTAAGATGTTTTAAGCAAAGCATTGTAAGAGCTTACATACCGCCTAATTCTTTCCCCATGGTTCTAGCCATAGGATACAGTCTTAGCTTTGATATTTACTTCAATTACGACGAACGAACGATAATTATGGATTTGACAGTAGTGTCACTAACTTAGTCGTTTATCCACCGAAAAATGTGTCACACTAGTCAATGAAACGAAATATCGCCATAATATCGCTACGATATAGTGACCTATGGCTAGAGAAATATATACTATGAATGTTAAATTGATCAAATATTATAATAATAAAAAGCTTGCACGTTTTCAACTTATAACAAAAAGATATTAGTTTATAACAAACAGAAACAATACTGAATTATCCATTCATTGAATCATTCACCGCGGATTTGCATAATGTTATTGTCACGAAACACGAAAACCGGCACGCATTTGTCTGCATACCTGTCTTTAACCTTCGGCGATTATAACACAATGCTCTAGTACCAATCAAATACCTGACTTTTGACATGACAAATTGTATCGACTTCTAGCGTATACATCACATATAACAAGACATATTCAACAATTGTTTACAAATGTAACATGGATGTTATCTCGCTTGTGAAACTTTTAATGTCTTAAAAAATATATATGATTAACCTTTAATAATAAACATAAATATAACTTCTTTGTGAAAATAAAATACAAACATACACGTCTGAGACTATATATTTGTATCTTATTAGCCTAGAAAAGATAAAACCATTGTCTATCAGATATTGTATTAAATAATATACTTCTTGGAGACTGAATGAACAAATTAAATTTTTTTCGTACACCGCAAAGAAATACATGAATTCAAGCTTAAATTACCAGTATAATCGGCGGTCTCATCGCTTTCTTTCTTTCTTCTAGGTAACCGTAGCTACGCTAATGACTATGCTTAAGAAAAAATAATAAAATTAATTATGATTCTTTTTAATTGTAAATCTATGTCTACAACAGATGCAGAAGGTTGATAATGTTACAAAATATAAAATTATAACTTTTTCTTAAGATGTTTTATTAAATTAACATTATACCAATTTTCAATAGATGTTATACCTATCAAAGTCAAATCGTTTATTGCATTTGAATAAAAGATTAAAAATGAATTTAAAGTATTTTTATAACATCCTGTAATTGGAGATAAATATTTAGAAGGCAATCTAGTTTATAGCTGCGTTATGGCAATTAAAGGTATATAAATGTAATATAGCATGGCAAGTAAAAGAATCAATAATAACTAAAGTAGGAAAACGAAATTTTATTACCTCAATATGGATTTAAGAAGCATCTATTTCTACTTTAAACTCATGACTTATTTGTCGTCGAAAATGTTTATAAGGTATTTGTTATTATTGTTAAAATAACGTTTAATACATAAATTTTAATTATATTCTTTACTTATTTAATAAAAAAAGTTATGTAACAATTATTTAGATAAAAAATGGAATTTTATAATTAGGTAGGTAAGTACTATAAATACTAAACAATGAACGGAAAACACTGAAAGTTTGAAAAATGTTTAAGGCGATTTGGTGTAATGAATGAAAACTGACGAAATTCCGAAAATCATTTCGAATAACTTTTTTTTTTAAATCTAATTATTATTACTCACTTATAATTTTTTGCAAAGTAAAGGTGAGTTACAAAGATTCAGTGATTTTGAAATTTTTCAATAAGTCTATATATAACCTTTCTTGGGTACAACAAATTATTCTATATTGCCGTGTGTCTGGATGTTGGCAACACCTTTGTTATTTCAAATTACTATAATACAAGTGCTTAAGCTTCTTAATTTGGTATGTGATGTCGTCTAATATATATTATTTCTTTTCATAATTTACCTTGTTATTATACTTATTTATAGATCAGATACCTACAAACTAACTTACTTACTTTCTGAATAGATATTTGATTCTAGATATTGGCTCATCTCGGAACTGGGAACTTTGATCATTATAAAATTTCGATAGTATGATATCAATATTCCAAAAATATTAGACAGCATAATACACGACTGCTTTGATTTCAAGGTAAGTAGCTAAAGCAAATAACGCATAGAAATTGCAAACAGCGACCGCCCATATCAGACACAATATACCTAGTAAAAAGTATTTTTACATTGACCTCGACTAGAATTGAATCTGAAAGACCAAAGAGAATTTAACTGAAAGACCTACATTGAAACAAAAAAGGTTAGTTTATATCTGATTTTAATTTTGATGAAGTACCATAATTGGACCTTATTCTACATTCGAATTTTAATGTTTTCTTTTTTCTTTTATACATGAACTGTCAAAAGGAAAATTTATTATAGTCTATTCACGACAGCGTAAGAAGCGTGCTGGAATTTTAAGTCTATGTCTGACATCAAAGGCGAGTCTCGTCAATGGGGGTCGAGGTCGTGTTATTTAAAAAAATATTAAGTATAAAAACTAAAACTGTTTAATAACAAAAAATATATTGACGATAGGATGATCAAACGTTTAGTGAAAATGTTTAATGTTGTAAGCAAAAAGTGACAGAGAAGTCTGGTTGTAAATTCTAAAACAGCCTAGCAATTTTATAAAACGTTATTTGGCAGATTTACACTTTTCACATTTTATTATGTTAATATAACCATTTTCGATTTCGTTTTTTTATCGTCTAGTCTTCATAAGTATACTGATTTCATACTTTATCTTTTCCCTTCTCTTTTTGATAAATATGCCTCATACTCCATATTCATGTACACATTTCTAAGGCTTTTTAAGATTGTATAAACATTTTGAACATATAAGTCAGGACTGAATAAATAGTAAGATATTGTAAATAGTGCTTACATGCGATGCTAACTTATGTCTGTTACAATGGGTTAAAGAAAGCAGAATAATATAATCTATTAATGTAATATAATAAAAAGACACATTTAAAAATAATATCTAAAGAAATTTTACTTAGTATTTAATGATGCGATTGGATATCAATGTTTAGTTTCCATGAAGAAGTGACCTTGGTCATTCGACACTCAATTCTTAAGTCACAATACTGACCAATAGTAAAAAAACAAAAAAAACCTTTTAAAAATATAAAAGAACAAGTCTTCGATTAGAAATCTATCCAATTCTAAGTTATTAATTTCCAAATGCCAAACTCGTTAAGACATCGAAAACACGGGCGATAAAACTCTACAATAATATATTCGGTCTATACATTTACCAATCCCATGTCACTTTGCACGGAGAGCAGTATATCAACTTACCACAAAGTATTGCAATCAATGCTGAGCTTTGAATATCGAGCGGAGAAATGTGACAGTTTCATATCACAATTCGTTTACCATATTGACCCGACTTTGAATCGGACTCGAAACCTCAGACATAGCGACACTTTCAAACAATACACCTATTTCATTTGTAGGTCCTCTATTATATATCTACTACCTTTCCAGCGGCTTCGCCCGCATGGTTCCTAGGGAACTGTTTCTTTGAATACCGATTCATATCATGAAACGAATAATATTATTACAATGACAAATTGAATAATAAACAATTATTACTATGGCAACGTTTTAATTCCCTATGCAAACTTTCACTCCATTTTCATACCTTTATTTGCTGTTTTCGGGACATAATATAGCCTATTTTCATGTGATGTAGCTTCCCATAGGTGAAAGACCTTTTGAAAATATTTGTAGATATTTGTAGCCTTTTCGCTACAAATAAACAAACAGTCAAATCTTTTCTCTTTATAATATTAGTATTTTTAAAAGTATAGATCAATACTCGTGACGAAGTATTCATAGTATGACTTAAGCAGAGCACAACAAAACCGCATTGAGGTCTTACATACTGTTCTGTTACCAACTTTAATATAGCTGATGTTCATAAAAGTCAAGGATATGATCCACTGGTCAGTAATGCGGTCTAACTCGATTTCTCATCGCTATTAATGCACACGAAATTGAACTCAAATGTAAACTGAAAAGATTTATAATTGATTGTAAATAAAAAAATGTGTATTTTAAGTTTTTGATTTTACTTTTATGTCCAGGTGACTCTTATTATTAATATTAAAAGAACTTATTTTAAATAGTTTAAAGATAATAAGTATATATTCTTTGAAAACATCCTCTAGATTTTTTATACCGTGTCAACAACAAAATCATTGCACTTAATCTATCCTAACCAGCCATATATATGAGTCGACATCCTCAGAAATCGTAGAGGATATTAAAACTACTCAGAGTGTGTGAACTTAAACAGGTCTATCGGATAGACCTTGCCCTTTCGAGGTCTTTGACAGGATACAGATATAAAACGTCAACAAAAGTAAAATAAGTTTTTCTTTCCTATTTTTCATTCTTTGTGTATTCATAAAAAAATCAAGTAGAGCTAGTTAA